GTGCGTTGCTTCTTGCTGCCTGTGACTCTCATTGCTTCGGTGGCATCTTTATTTGACCCCTCTAGGGATGCAGTGTTGGGCTCTATATATCTGAAGCTTGGGCAGTGCCAGCTGTGGGGTTTTGCTCAGTGCCGGAGCAGTGGCTCAGTGCCATGGAGGAGAAGTAGAGGGGCTCGCAGCAAGGCAGGAGCAGGGCTGACGTCTCCTGCGGCCCCGGGCTGCACCTGAGCTCTGGGAGCATCTCGCTGTCCGTGCAGATTTCGGCAAGGGCAGGGCGCAGTGTGGCTGCAAGGGGGGACTTGTGGGGTGCAGGCTCTTGGCCGCTCTTTGGAAAGGGGCTAATGCAACACATGGGAATTGGCCAACTGCCTGCCAACTAGAAGCCATGGCTGGCAGCTTGCCAGCATGGGGGCCTCGCATCTCTTTAATTCGAGATGTGTTTACTGGCGGATAGCGTTTTGCAGCTGGCTGGCTGGAAACTACAGGTCCCAGCATGCTCCCTCGCATGTCGCCCGGCTGCTGAGCTCCGTCAGGAGCATGGTACCATGGGGATCATAGTCTTGGTGCTCGCCGCTGTGGAGGTTTTGCTGCCACGGAGAAGGGCTCTAGTTCGGCATTGCTGGGCAGAGCCAGGCTGCAAGACACGGGGCTGGTCTCTGCCTCCTGCTTTCTTATCCTCCTGCCACCCACTTGCTCAATGCAAGACCAGGTTGGCCTTTTTATGTCACCAGGCTGGGGAGGGGATCTGGTCCCATTCTTATTCGTTTGCAATGTAAATATTTTGGTCCTGAGTACGTTGCTGGGAGCTGGGTGTCACGTTGAGGAGCGTGATTCATTCATGCTGTTGCTGCTCGGAGCACAATGAGGCAGCCTTGGGACCGGTCCCAAAGATTTCCTGTGATCACGGCTGGTGGGGAATTTGGGACGTCACGTTTGACTAAGTCAGAGCCCTCTGCGCGATTCCTGCAAGCCAGAAGTGCTGTGCTGTGCCCGGCTTGTTCAGGACTTGCCACCCTCAAAATGCAGTGGGTGCGGGTTGGCTTGCATTTCCAGAGAGAGGGAAAACAGAGAGTGAGGCTGAGCTCCAGCTCTTGCCTTCTCCAGCTGGTGGTGTATGGAAGAAGTTGCAGGGTGTAGGGCTTTGTGCCTGGTCCAAGCCAGCCTAACAAATAAAGGTACAAAGCAATGCAAGTTTAAAACCTGCTGTACGTCGAGTCTCGGAGGGGGCCCCAGCAGAGTTTCCCCAGTGGCACCAGCACCGCATGAGCATCTGTGTGTGTTTTAGAGGGTCTAAACACACATCTGTGTGTGTGACAACCCGAGGTGGGATGCTGGGTGGATGGACGGGAGCATTGGGAGATGCCTCTCCATCCCTTGCTTCCACTGCTGATGCTCTGCTGCCAGAAGGGACCTTGCCACCCCCAGTTTGGTCACTGGCACAGGAGGGGAGGCACCGCTGCACCCTCCACCCCGGATCTGGCTCCCTCCGTCCCCCTGCGTGTTGCTTTGTCCTCCCCATGCCGCTGAGAGCCAGGTGTGGGCTGTGCAGCGCCCGGATTCGTTCTGGCATCCTTCGTTAGACGGTGTTTGTTCATGCTGCATTTTTCTTTTTGCTGGCTTGTTTGGACACGCACTGGTACATTCACGGCACTCAGGCAGTAACGTGAGTCTCTTTCCCATTAGGAAAGGGGCCAGGATTTGGGGGGGCCAGGAGGGTGGCTTAAGCAGTAGTTTCTGAGATATTTCCTTCTGCCGCCACACCCTGCATGAAAGAGCAATATCCGCGGCTTCAGCTGCTATCGCAAGGCTCCGAACGTCTCTCTTTTAATATAGATTGGTATCATTTTGCATTTTAAAGTAAAAACACGCTGCAAGCTGCAGACAGCTGTCGGTTGGCAGCTTTGTTTGAACATCTGGTATTGCTGGGCTGCTGTTCAGCGCAATCTAACTATGGGATTCATAAAGATTATAATCCGGGCTTTCAGATTCTCAACAGCCGCCTTGTAAAAAAAAAAAAAAACGGGGGAGAGAGAAAACCCAGCAGGGAAGGTGGCTGAGGGGTCGCGGCGTTGGGCAGGTCATGGTCATGGTCATGGTCCCTCTCGGGTGCAGAGTGGCTGATGGGCTCCCCTTATGTCGCCTTGGCTGCCTGCAGGTGCTGACGGGCTGCTTCCAGCCTGCAAAATGCTGGGCGTTGGGGAGCTGTAGAAGTGCAAAGTCCTCCTTCCCCACCCCCCACCCCCTTTTTATTTTTTCCAGCTTGTGTGCTGAATGTGATTGAATCTCATGCTCCTCTGGGTGGTGTCTGGCACTGGCGAGCTGAAGCAGCAGATTCTGCTGTGGCTTTGGGTAGATGTTTGTAGCAGTTGTCTGCAGCAGCAGGACTTGGTTTCTTTTTCTTTAAAGTAAGTGATGGAGGAGCCAAGACTTGGAGTAAACATCTCAGTGTGTCAAAATCTCGTTTCCAAGAGAAATTGAGTCTCCTTTTCTTCTCAACCAAAAGGTTGAGATAGCCACCTCTGTAAGCCCCATCCATCCCTCTGTGAGTCAGGCACTTTCCTTGGCACCTTTGAGAATTAAGCGGCCTCTAAGCCCCTAACGGGTTTTATAAATCTTGTTAGTTGATCTGCATTTTTGCAAAGCTCTTTGAATCCAGCCTATTGGCACATAAGTCACCTTGACTTTCTGCAAGGCTTTGACTCCCAACTCACTTTCAGGCTCCATTTGTCAGTTGGAGGTGCACAAAATACGTCCCCCCTTATCTTTATTAGAAAAGAAAAAAAAAAAAAAGCAGCCTGGAGAAATCTAGCTGCGCTCTAGTTGGTACAAGCCAGTAATAGAGGTGCATATAAACCTGTTCTGCCCTTGTTTGTGTTGATTTAACTTACCAGTACAAATTAAAATAGCCTTGAGCGGTTGGAAGTTTAACTAGATCAGTTGGGAGGAAAAAAAAGAAAATCATGGCCTTTAAATCAAAGCAGGGGTTTCTTTCTAGTGCTGCCCTGAGCCCAGAGACAGGCTTTGTGCTGCCCATGCAGCCGGATCCCTTGTCTCTGTGTCACCAAACGAGATGCTGGTGGGGCACATGGCTGCTGGTCATTGCCTTTGCACTTATCGGTGGTCTCGTGGCTGGGACACATAGGTGCACACAGGCATCACTGTGGCTGCGCTGCTCCTCGGTGGTATCTGGGTTCCCCCAAAAACCTGCTCATGCATCCAGATCCTCAGGCCGGGCTCCCTCCAGAGCAGACATTAGAAATTAGTAGGGTAGGAAGCTGAAGGGGCGGCTGTTCAGAGCTCAGGTCTTCCCGTGGCAGGGCTGAGCCGTTTCGAGTACGGAGCGGAGGTCTTTGGGCAGGGGAGAGGCAGCTCAGCCTGCAATGGAAGGAAGGGTGGAAGAGTCTGGCTGTGTTTCACCCCTGCAGGGAGAAAGCACTGAGATCACACAGGCCAGCTGGATCTTGAATCCAAGATGTTTATTTGGAAGAGGGAGTGAGGGTTTCTCAATTTTGCAGGGGCTGCAGATGGGGGTAGGTTTGCTGCCAAGCGATGAGAGTGGGTCTTTGCAGGATGGCGGCTTTTGAAGGCAAGGCATCCCGCCAGCCGCAGTTTGGGGACGACTGGCCGGGACTCCGAGATTGCAGCAAGTTGGGAAGATCTTGGGATTCAACAGAGCTAGGCGAGGCTGGGACAACAGCAGATCGAGGCAGGATTGGGGGGGTTGCCAAAGCCTGTTTATTTTTTTGTGGGGGTTATGGAAGGAGCGATTCACAGATGATATGTCAGAGCAACAGGGCTTTTGTGAGGAGCAGGATATTGTGATTCGACTGCATTTCGGCACTGAACAACCTCCCTTTTCTGTCCAGACTGCCACCACTGGAACTGGCAGAGTGCTGGTGAGAGTCAGTTCAGTGAGATGATCCAGCCGAGAAGAGACTGCTTTTTTTTACTGGCTTAGTTTTTCAGCTGGATCTGTGGTCAGGAAGGGGCAGATGTATGAAAACAGAGACAGAAGAGGGAGAAAAGGAGGTTACGGCCCCCATAACGTACATGTAAATTGATTGAAACATTCAAGAAACCACAAGCACTGAGCGCGCCGAAGGCGGAAAGGGCAGGACTTCTTACACGATCTCTTAGGCTCTGAAAACCTGAAATCTGGTGAATCCCAGTCAGTGTAGCTGCAGGGCCCAGATTATATTTTCTGGCATGGCAGCAAGGAAGCGCGAGGCGATGTTGGTCATCGGGGCCAGATGTGCTCTAGGTGTTGGTGTCAGTCTGAGGTCCCAAGTGGCTGGAAAGAGTTGCTCAAGGCACTTGGGTCTGGGTTTCTGAAACTTTCTGGGATGTCGCAAACCCCTGTGCTTTCCCGGAGTGCCCTGGCAATGCCCCTGTGCCGGTGCTCCGGAGCTGGTTGCTTAAAGGGCATTTGGCTCTGGGTCGTGCTGGGCAGGGTGGGCTTGTGCCAGGGCCGGCAGCTGGAGCCCCATGCCAGAGATGTCTGAGGAGCCCAGTGGATTTTGGCACTCATTTATAAGCAGCCCCAAATCAGGACGCTTTCCCCCTAAAACCAAAAGGGGGCAGGGGGGAGAGCTCCTCCCTCACATCTCTGATGGCAGAGAAGATGCAGACCTTGTTCTTCATAAACTCGGAGCTGAGTCCTATGACTCCTCCTGGCTCTCCTCGCTCCCAGGCGAAGGCAGCCTGGACTGTCATCCCCCCCAAAAGCTGGCCGGGGACGGTTGCTGGCCAGCATCCGCGCCCAGGCCTGGGTGGGGATCTCCTCTCCCTCCCTTCCCAGCAGAGAGAAAAAAGATTTCTTGAGCTCCTCGCTGCCCTGAGGGCCTGGTTGTGCCTGCAGCCACAGCCCCGGCAGCTCTCAGAGCTGGTCTCTCCGTCTTGCTCCTGCACCGCCCAAAAGCATCTGCTGTCCTCGTGCCACCAGGATACAGCGCAGGAGCATGTTTTTCCCGGCCAGATGCTCTCTCTCCTGGTGGATCCAGGGCAGGAGGCGGCTGCGCCAGCCAAAGGCACAGGCATCACTGAGGCTCATCTTCATCCTGTGAAGCCAGTGTCATCAGTCAGGACTCGCCTGCCTGCACTCTCGGCATGCAAACCAGCTCCTTCATCCCCGTATTCATCTTCCCGGTGTGTTTCCAGCTCCTTTCTTCCACTCCTCCCCACGCTGTGAGTGAGTCTTGAGTCTCCCCAGGTCTGGTGGAGGCTTTCGCCGCCTCTTGCTGCGCTTTGCATGGGGCAGTTCATCCAGCGCTGGCCCATGATCAGCATGGCCTCGCTACTACCCTCCAACACACTGCAAAAGTGGCTTTGGTGTTCGGGGCATCTCTGTTTTGGGGGGCATATTGTCCATACTGGGCAGCCTGTATCAGGAAGTGGGACCTCCAGGGCTGCTGGCACAGGAGGGATGCTTCTGCCACTGCTGGCCTCGTCTCCCTGCTCCTTAATACCCCTTATCCCCCTTTTCCCCTTGAAGCAGCTCTTCATCTCTGCTCAGAGGACACTGACAGCAGTGGCAGCCAGGTCGTGGCTTGAAGTTGGGGTCTGAAAGCGTCACGGAGAGCCCCGTGCTCCTTCCCCCACTTGTGCAAGAGACACAGCCGCAGGTAACCCCCTGTGGCAGTGGGGAGCAGGGGCGACACAGAGGCCCGGAGAGGCGAATTAACGTCCTCAAGGTCCTTCTGAAGGTCGCTTTCCAATAGAGAATAGGTCCCCGTTTCCTGGCCTCCAGAAATCTCGCGGCTGACTCCATGAGACACAATGCCTCGTATTTTCCCCTTACTAACGAGTTCTTCCTTTCTGCTGAGTGTAAACAAGGGGGAGAGCTATCCTGGGCTGTAGCCACCACCACAGCCCCACGGCAGTCCGGAGTCTGCTGATACAAAGCCATGAGGAGGAGCATGGTCTGCCGTGCCACAGGGTTGAGGGCTGACCTGAGTACTGCTGAGCAGCCACGAGTCGTGGCTGGGGGGGGGCATCCAGCTG